TGTGCCAGGGGAGGTTTAGATTGGACATGAGGAAGAATTTCTTTACTGAAAGAGTGGTTAAACATTGGAACAGGCTGCCCAGGGAAGTGGTTGAGTCCCCATCCCTGGAAGTATTTAAAAGACGTATAGATGAGGCGCTTAGGGACATGGTTTAGTGGGCATGGTGGTGTTGGGTTGACGGTTGGACTCGATGATCTTGGAGATCTCTTCCAACCTTAATGATTCTATGATTCTATGATTCTATGCTTATCCATTCCTCTATTTTTTGAATAAGAACTTTTTTGTTACTTTCTTCCTAGGAACGTTTAAGGTTCTCAGTTAAGCTCCCAATACAATATGGGGCAGAATAGCAGCTTGAAGAACAATGCACCTTTGGGCAGGGTGTAGAGATTTCTGGACAAGTCCAAGTATTCAAGCAGGAGTAGGTAAGTGGAGTAATCAGTTTGACACATTGCATGGATAATGATGTTGCTCAATCACTGGCAGCTGCTGTTCATTTCTGAACTGGAAATATGTGATCACGTTCCTCTGCCTTGCCCATTCGTGCACCAAAGCGTTCATTTTGGAAGACCTGATTGAGAAGGTTCTTCAGCAATATGTAGTGTTTCCTACCGTTGTGTATGATTCACAACAAAAGTTTCAGAGCAAGCCACAGCACAAGGACAAAGCTGCCAGCACTGAAGCAGACCTTTGTGACCTTGGTCATGTTGCTGGACTTCTGTCCAGGCTTTGATGCACAGAAATAGAAGATGATTCTAATACACCAACATAGAATAAATGAGAAAGTTCACTCTAGCCTGTTGGTTTTCTGGTTGTTTCCTTCTGACGGAACTTTAAGGCATGTAATGGCTTTTCTCCTCCTTTCTATCTTGCTTCAATACGGTCATGAAACTACTGGGAGAGAAATGCCATTGACACTACTGTGTGTGTGCAGGTGTGGGTGTGGCAATGTTCACAATGATGGGATCACAGCCGTGCCTAAGAGGCTGAGAACGGAGCTCTTCAGTGAAGAGCTAGTGGCTCAAACCAAAGCACCAAATTCATGACTGAAGGGGTGGCAAAATCCCTTAAAAGCAGGGAAAGGCATCAAGGATGTCACCATTGCTAAGAAACACAGTAGAATGCTACATTTCCAACACACCTAGCAAGCATCTCTTCCCCTCTTTGGATGCAAAACTGTTAACTACAGTTTAGACTCTAAGAAGGTCCAGTTGCCAGAAATGAGATGAAAGCCTCTAAGGTCATGGAAGGCCCTTGAATAATACCATGGTGGGTAATGGTAGCAAACCCTAAATAGAGACAAAATATGCAAACAGCAGAACAGAGGGAATGTAGGTCAAGTGCTCTTAGCTTTTTGTGCCCTGGCCTATTTCAGGACAGGCACTTCCTAGCCAACAGGGAGAGAGGAGTGCACTCTCTCCCTGTGGTTCAGGGAGACATTTGCACTGGCTACGCCTGTGTGGGGCATGAAGAATAAGATATGTCAGCTCTGCCCAACCTAGCCCCAGACCTAGAAGCAGAACATTAATGGAATTAGCATAGCACTCCTTCTGACCTACACTTAGTCGTGTTGAAAAGCAAGGTATATTAGTTTAGACCACATACTGCATTAATACCCTAGCCAGAGTCTCTGCATGGATTGCACTTACACCGTCCAGACATACCGAATGTCTAACATCCTGCCTTTATTAAACTGATCTGCTAGGAATATGAACTGAAGTGTACCGTC